CCTTAATGATCCTGGCGATTGCGATTAGCATGAAACGGACTGTTGCATCTTTTAGATCTATATAAGATAAGAATATAAATATATAAAATATGACATAATCATATTTGAAACCTCTTTTAGAGAGCCCCAAAGTATTTGAAAAATAAATAGATAAGCAAACAAACAAATAAATAAATAAAAATGCCAAAATTAAGCCGTGGTTTCTATACGAAAACCTCCTTGTATTTTAATGTAACTTATATAAGTTCCAAAAAATGTAGACAAGCTGACAGGATTCATACACGAAATCCCGTATCGGCAAGAAGAAATTACATTCCCACACCAAACTTTTAACCTAATTTTTTTTTTTACTTTTTCATCATTCTATACAGCGAGGCAAATCTGAGGGAATTGGAGATCCTACCAGGATTCATCATTGGCGGCCACACCCTTACCAACATAAGATATGCAGATGACACGGTACTGATAGCAGATACAGAAAAGAAACTACAAAACCTCGGACAGAAGGTAGCGAAGGAGATCGAGAAGAAGGGCCACTCATAATCTACAAGAAGACAGAATGCATGGCCATCAGTAAAATGATGAGACCAAAATGCGATTTGCAGATCGGGGACACTAAACTCAAACATTTGCGGAAGTTTAAGTATATGGGAAGTGTTCTGACGGAGGACGGCAAATTAGACGCTGAGATCTGAAGACGGATGGGGATGGCCAAAGATGCCTTCCAGAAGATGGACAGAGTACTGCGAAACAGGAGGATATCTATGGTGACAAAGAAAAGAGTACTGAACTGCGAAATGACATCTGTTCTCCTATACGGCAGCAAATGTTGGACAGTATCCCCAAGGATGAGGAAGAGACTCGAGGCGGCGGAGATGTGGTTCTACAGAAGGATGTTGGGGATATCATAGACCCTACATCTGGGATACGATGAGGTATTGGAGAGTATGCAAACAAGGAGAAATCTTATGATTAACACAAGGAGTTATAAGCAGTTGAAATTTCTTGGACAGAAGATGAGAAAGGAGCGCCTGAACAATCTGATACTCACAGGACGAATAGAAGGAAAAAGAGATGAAAATGCAGCGCAGGACATACGTGGTAGGCGTGGACTGCTGGATAGCAAAGCGGGGTCTGGGGGAGTTGGAAGAAACACAAAACCTGTTGAGAGTCACAAAGGATAGGTGGAAGTGGAGGACCATGATCACCTACGATCTGAAACGACACGGCACATAAAAAGAAGACCTTAGATTAGACCTGACTCTTTATTCGTGAAAGTAGACAACACCTTTTTTAAATTTTAAAATCTCATTCCCCACTCCAACTTAAACCCTTAAATCTAATACTATGTTCAAAATGTAAATCATTTTTTTTCCTGAAGTTATGCAACATCGCTTGAAAATGGAACAAAACTTTTAATTTTAATTTTTATTTCCAAAACAGTAATTTCTGTGTCGTGCTGAAAACATAATTTTAAATAAGTTTGTGTCGATCAATTTAAAAAAAATTAAATCCTAAAGAAGGGTAGATTATTAATGGGATTATTATATATATATATATATATATATATATATATATATATATATATATATAAAGAAAGAACAGTAAGATATATAATTTTAGATATTTTTATTTTTACAAAATAGTGCTCAATGTAAATTTATATAAAAAATATAAGTTTACTAAATCAGTGTAATTAATTAGCTATTTTTGCCGTCATTGTCAAAAATTTTACTTAATTAATATAATTAAAAAAAAGGTTACCTAATAATATACATACTTATACTTGATGTGAAAATAATTCTACATAATGTAAGGGATTCTAATGCATTTACTTGTTCTTAAAAGAAATATAATATATTAAAAATTAAAAGTGAAAATATTTTTCAAATCGTAGTTAAATAAAACGTATCCCAACCTAAACACCCACCCAAAATCTTTAAATATACAAATAGAAAAAAATGCCGTAAGAATTTTTGGCGTTAACAATAGTTTTTTTTTAAAAAATCCAGACGACATGCATTTAACGGATGTTAGATTTCATTGAAAAATACATCCCTAACCCTACCAAAACGTAACTAATAACTGATACATCAAAACACAGCAATACTGAACACGCAAATGCCCCTTGTCTGGTTGAATTGGATTTCTCTGTATCCTTGGAAACGTGAAATATTTAAAACCCAGTAATTTTAAAAGTTACTCTAAAATTCGCTTGAGTATGAAATGGAACTAATGTCTTGTATTGTATTAATCATATATATATATATATATATATATATATATATATATATATATATATTATAATTAATTGATTTAAAATAAGTTTTTCGCTACACAATTACTAACCATGTTTCAAAATGGGAAGCTGAAAGCTCCGAATTTAATTTTGTAATTAAATTAATAATTACAAAATTAAATTCGGAGCTTTTTCCATTTTTGAAACATGGTTAGCACTGTGAAGCGAAAAACTTATTTTAAATCAATTAATTTATAATATATATATATATATATATATATATATATATATATATATATATGATTAATACAAATAAAAAATTTCGCTGAATGATATATTCAGCATCCGACACCAGAATTAAATAAACGAAAATTTTTTAATCATTCAGCTCACTCATCAGAATATATATATGTATATATATATGTATAAGTATAGGATTGGTGTATACTGAATGCATTCCAATAACCCAAAAATATTATTCTTAAAAGAGTGCTCAATACAGATTAGACCAAATATAATTTATTCGAATATTATAAAATAGATATGTTATAAAACCTCTACAAAAATAGCCATTTTGTTTCAAAACTTCTCGTGTCTTATCAAGTATATGGTTTATTCAACACCATCACTTGATAAGAAGTGTTGAAATAAAATGGCTATTTTGTGGTAATTTTCTAACATATTTATGTTATAATTTTCGAATAAATTTTATATATATATATATATATATATATATATATATATATATATATATATATATAATGACGGCGGACATTGAGATCAACAAGTAGCGACAGTCTGTTTCATGCTTAAACTTTTAGAATGCTACAATTTGCTTTTTGAAATATTTTAATATTCTTAATGTAAATCTGACCCACCTTTTCCAGAACATCCCCATGCACAAGTCACACACGCTTCAAAGAAATAGAAGATCAAAAATATATTTTAATTATTTCATTATTTTGACAATTGCATCGCAATTTATTATTGATTTTACAAAGCAGACATTAAACGTTTTAATTAAGCATTTAGTCTCGCCCATTTACAACTGTAATAGAAAAGAATCAAACGAACAAAATCGCTTGAAATAATCGAAAAACATACAAATGTCAATTATAAGAAAAATGCTAAGGATACAAGTAAATGTTAGATATATGTCAACATATATCAGCTGACAAAGCAATATAGAAATGCAGGTCGATGCGAGAAAAACGGTTGCTTGAATGGTTGGAAATAACCAGACGAATGATGTAAAGGTTTGATAGAAAGAATGATTCGTAAAATAAAATATTTACAGTTGAACCGTTTTGGGGAAAACAACTTTGTCCTGGATCGATCTCGCCATGACTGATGATAGATCGACCGATAGACACATAGATGGATATATAGAAAAATCATCTTTGTTTATTTTGATTAAGTGATAGTAGGTCAATGAGTATAGGTTGTAATGAACTGTTTTCAATATTGCTTTGTAATGCTTACTTAAGCGTAACTTCACTTTTATTTGATTGTTCGTGTTTAAAAAAGTAACATTGGCTTGCTTGGACATTAATACAATTCTTCTACAGTGTGTGATGGGTAAATTGTCGCCATTTTTATATTTTTAATTTCGTGAATAACTGTTGTTTCTTTTGGATTTTGTCGATTGCACAGTGCAATAGGGTCAGTTGGGCACCGTCTGTGAGAAAAAGGGAAACCTGACGCAACCGACTTCAGAGATTTGGAAGCGAAATGATGTACTGTTTTGGCTTTCGCTCCGGAAGCATCAATAAGAACATTTCAGAGTGTTTGTGAGGATAGTGAAGAGGATTAGGAAAGAGTTGGATGAATCTCATGGGGATTATAAAGAAACTCTTTCTGATGAGAAAAGAACATCTGTATTTGTGGGTGAATGCCTCAGACTGAACACGTAGGCCTACCTGAAGTGCCTTGGGGAGATAGTGCTGTTGGAAGACGTTATGCCTGGAATCTGCTCCATTCTACACAAGCAGGAGAACACAGTAATGGCTGTCTAACAATTTCTGCAACCACATCACCCCTTACATCTGCCCACTAACTCCATAGACAGCAAACATTATGTCCTGCGCGCAGTTGATCGAAAGACCCAAAAAAAAATTCTTGTAACACCAAAGAGAAACTGAAGTCAATTTTTATGGCAGTATTCACCAACTTAAACAAGCGTTGCAGGAGATTCTGAAGTCACCTGGAGGCCATGGTTGAAGCCAATTGAATAGATTTACTATTTAGCATTTCAAGATAGTTTTGTGTAATTTTGGTAAATGTATCTGTAAAATGAGGTGTCAGGGTTATAATTGCCTAATTTAGACAACAATTTATCCATCGCTCACTATATATATATATATATATATATGACAGAGAGAGAGGCAGTATTCTTTCTTTTAAACATTTTTCGTTAAATGGCAAACAAGTCATATTTAATTAATCATTTATTTCGTTTTTTTTTCTCCATTTGTTGGGGGTAAAGGAGTGCAAAAACTGTGCACATTGTCCATTGTCCGTCGTGTTTATTTCCGACAATTTGCCCATTACCACACATTATTATTTACCGGATTTAAATTGATATTCTTTCACTCTGCGATAAATTGAATAATTTTGGTTTTGAGCAATGGCTAAAAGTTACCCGGTTACATATTAGAAGAAAATACATAAATATGTAACGTCATCAGCTATATTTTTTGAAATTGCACAGATAGAATATTTAAAATTATTTTACATTTATGTGTAATTATTCTCGTGAATCATGTGTCAAATTCTTATCCTTCTTCTTCCCGGGTTTGGTTTTGAAGATCCGTAAGATTTGGAAGAGTATAAACGTTACGGACTTAGATAATAAAAAAAGAAACAAACAAACAACTTTCTTGAATTGGTTCGGAACATTTTATTACTTTTGGTCAATCAATTTGTTTAAGTTTTAACATCTTCAATGCCCAAGGGAACAATTCATATCTTGGAAGTAAATGATGTTTTGAATGTACTCTTGTAAACACACACACAGACACACGCACACACACATACATACATACATACATATATATATATATATATATATATATATATATATATATATATGAAAATTCTAAAATAAGTATAGCAAGAATAACCTTTCCAACGGAATGCAGATATTATCGCAGTTACAATAAGTTTGTCTTTCTAACTTACTCCTGAAGATCATATTGGAAAAGATCGAAAGTACTTGGGTTAGAAAAATGCCAAAAACCTTCCATGATGAATTTCATCTTAACATCAACGCACTTATTAGAGATATGGAAAGGATTAGTAATGAAATAAATAGACACAATATATCTAAATTATTTAATGAAACATGTTTGAAAGAATATATGCTGCCTAAGTATATATATATATATATATATATATATATATATATATATATATATATATATATATATATGCGTGAGTGTGTAGAAGACCTAAATTTCAGTGATGTCTTTGATTAATTTAAATCTATGAAAGACTTATGGTGGCGAATGAAAATATCTCAGAGAATTATTATTACATTATTTGTCAAAAGCGTCTTTTTTATTATACGGCGAATATATAAATTGTTTATTATTTCCAAATTCACTTAGTTAATTATTTTATATATGTATTTCGTCTTGGTTATCAACCCAAACTTTTCTCCAAATCGTATTAGTCGCTTGACTGAAGAGAGTGTAGAATTAAATGCCTCATGCACCCGGTCGCTATAGTGACAAACTATCAACAGAAAAGAGACAAAAATCACCAGGGATTATCGTGTCAACGTCTCGTGTCAACGAACAATAATGACTATAGTAATGCTGTCAGGTAAGTAACCCAAACTTCAACGAAAAATCAATGGACGTTATTTTCCTCAGAATAAACCATATAAATATTTACCATTTGAACCCTGACTACCTCTTTACCGGCTGTAGAGAAAAATGTCAGCCACCGGTAATGAAAAATGACTTAATACCTAGCTACCGGTTAAACGGTGGGTAAACACTTGTACCTACTTTTATATCTAGCGTGAAAGATTACATACCAATTATTTGCGAATTTTGACACAGCAGCTTGGTCAGAAGGGTTGTTTAAGAACGCAGTGCTCAAAGGGTTAAAACTTGATAAATCTTATATCTGTAAAAGCTATATGAATAACATGTTTTCCTAGACACACTATTTTCGTCCTTTTGATTACACAGATGAAGAACAATTGTAAATGTAACAAACGATATGAAAAATTTATGTTTCCGAACTATAGTAAAAGCCAATGAAAAATTTAATTTGTAATGCGTGTAATCTTTGGAACACTCATGTTGATGTTTCATAATACAGAGTTGTGTGACTTTTATACGGTTTTGTTCGGATCTCGTCGATTATAGACAATAGATATAAGTTAATTCATAATATTCTTCCTCGAAGATAGATCATCTCCATAAAGCCATACCTCCAGTAATGACCTGATAAATGATAATAAAATACGCGAAATTTCGATAGCAGTTTATGTAATATTGCATCAACAAAAAGGTTTTGAATTCCAAATTGGAGAGTGAGGATATACCAGAAATCAGTCAACTAATTTAATCTACTTCAGATTAGAGACCAGACGAAAAAGGTAGACATTCCAGAGAAAATTATTTTTCTTCAATCATATAATAATGAAAAAAAATGTAAACCTAAAACAATAATTGTATATCGTAAAATTCAATGATTTCCAACTATCATGACAGACACTTAAAAAATCCGTTTAAATATGATATGTCGACCCATTTCTAAAGTCGAATAATCAGTCTAACTTCCTGTTAAGTTTCTAACATTGAGAAATTAATTGACATGAAATCAAGGCACAATTTCTTATGTAAGAACAGGGTAAATATTTACCTGTGAAATATATTATATTACCTATGATAAATGAATGTCATCAACTTTAATGATTTTTTCTAATCTGTATGGATGTTACGTTTTTTTATTCTTTCTTGTTTTATCCTGTCATTTGTCATATATTTATAGTAAATATTTATTCATCTTTCAATAGTTCCACATTTATTCTCACAATACACAATACTGATAGATGTTATTGAATGACGAAACAGGAAAATATCAATTGTTAAGACTAATGAACCAAACCTAGATAGAATAAATCTTATATTTCTATTAAATATAGCGTCTATGTATGCTTGATGCTCTGCGATTTTTTTATTAGAATGTCTAAAGGCATTTTAATTGGACTTTCATAAAGAAACAGTTTTTGTCACAATATTTCTCTTGTTCTGAATAAAGCCTGGGTCGGACATTTGAAAGAACTTCACACAATGAAGAATTCAGGTCAATAACGGTAATTATAGTTTGTGGTCAAATTTTTCCTAAATTGCTATTTTTCCGAAAGCACTAATTATATGTGATTTTGATAATGAAGAAAACATAAAAGAATCGACAAGAGCCCAATTGCTCAATATAATTTTGTTTCTCTGAATAAATGTTTCTACTAACGAATGTCGACAATCTAATTGACCCTTTATATAACTAATGAAGAGTTTTTTTAACGAGACCAGGAATAACTTTTACAAACAATAATGAATAAACAGTTGTAATTTTCGAGCGCACATGTGAAAAGAAGGCCTGATGAACACAACACTTAAAGAAGAAAACAAATGAAGCGGAGAAATGAACACGGTTACATACTCAATATGTCTGAGCAAAAAAAAAAAAAAGATGGAGAATCAAGCAGTCCGAAGACAACCATTCGAAAACGAGATATATCGGAGTAAACAATATGACATATCCGGAGAATCTCGGCTGTCTCCGTGCTGAAATATTGTGACGATTAAGAAGAAAGAATTCACGACTCTGAGCCTTTAAAATATGATTAGTATCTCTCTCTCAAAATTCATACACAAGAATGCCATACATACGAGGAATTAGGGAAAGGAATGTTTTATTGTGCTGTTACTTCAGTTCTTTACGCCTGGTTGCTGAGGTTATTAACGTACGAATTTCCAGAATTTCAATGAATTCAAATATTTAATAATGGTGGCAGACTACCTCTAAGTTACTGGAGCAATATTCTCTCTAAAGCCCGATAAATATAAATAGATAATAGTGATTGGAATAAGCAGTGAGATAATCATATTTAGAGAGCTAAAGCATTCTTTATATAGATCAAGTAGACACGGTATCTTTAATTATAATTTGCAGGATATGTTTTGAAGTCTTGCAAGCCGAAGAATACACCATTATTTTAATAATGATAATGGTTGTTTTCAGAGGATGAATTGGGTAAGACCAATTGGCAAATAGCAGAAAAATGTAAAGAAAACAGAAGAAAGAAAACAATGTTACAAATTGCTTTTCGAGAATATCTTGTTATTCTTACATTATTTAGCATTTAGCGTCTTCTTAAGAAATAACTGTCTTTATGAAGAAACCCATTGTTCATTTGTTTCTTTTTATTTTCAATCATTATGGATTATTATTCTCCTGCCCTTGCCCAGTTTCGTATTATTTTCAATTTTTTTTCGAAGTAACGTCCAAATTTCTTTTCCATGTTCTCTTCCGTTTCATCTAATTTTTCTTCTTTACTTTTTTCTCCATTAGATTTTTTCTTTCATTTCTATTTCTTTTTTTTTTAGTTACACTATTGTCCTCCTTTTCCTTGTCATATTCATGAAGTTTCTGTCATTGTACGCTCCGGCCTTCTTCACCTGATTGGAATTTAGAACTGGAGTCTTTAATTCGTCCGCGGAGTTGATTGTCCTAGTTTAACGTACAAAGAAGAAGGCCAGAGCGTATGAAGGCCGAAACATCCTAAATAGGACAAAAAATAAGGAAAACAGTCTGAACAATGGTAAAATATTGTAAATAGTTACTCATCTGAGAAATATAGACATATTCTGTCCTTTTTTTTCTTTTCTTCTGCTTCCTTTCAGTTCATTTTTCTTCACGATTTTCTCCGTCATATTCTTCTCCTTCATCTTTTTTCTTTTCCTCTTCCTTCTTTTTTCGTTTCCTTCCTTTCTTCTTTCGCTTTCTTCTTCTTTTTATCTTTCCCTCTTATTTTATTTCCCGTCGCCATTTTATTTTTTCCTCTTCTTTCCCTCTTATTCTTTTTCCTTTCCATCGTCATGTACTTATTTTTCTTCGTCATTTCCTTCCGCACCTTTCCGTTTTTTCTCTTTCTTTCTATCTTTCAATGCTTTTCTGTCTTTCTTTAACTGTCTGCTTTCTCCTCTTATATCTCTTTCTTTTTCTTTTCCCTTGTCGTTCTTGTATTTTTTATTCGTCTTCCCTTGCTTTTTTGCCTCTTTTTATTCTCGTCGGCTCATTTCTTATTTCTCCTCTTTTATTCTTTTTCTTTATTCCTTTTTATACTTTGTTAATTTTTTTTCTTACTTTTCTCTTGAATTCTTATTTTATTCGTCTTTTTTGTTAAAATTTTCCATGTAGTTTATTAACACATAAAGAAGGTTGCAAATATAATTTAGGGTCTCAGTTTTACAGGCGTCCGCGTAAATGATAAATGACTTTTTATTTTTTCATTCAAAGGAATAAAACCTCGTGAATTTGACAATTTCGCTGAATAAAAAATAAATATATTCTATATAACATGCTTGCAGTATTTGATTATTATGAATAGTGGACGATTTTCTCAAAATACTGATTTATATTCATACAATCAACTGAACAATGCGAAAATAAAATAATTGTTCAGATAAATATTTCTAAACATTGTACAATCGCGATGACAATGCGTAATTTCGAGATTAGTTTATTCTTCAAGAAAAAAGATATGAGTTCAAGTCCTACCGGTGAATAATTGCTTATTAAAGATCGAAGAGCGACAACTTTGGAGTTCCGATAAAAAGCAAGAAAAAAGGAAAATATTAAGAAAAACAATATTGAATCTACTCAGTATTTACATTAGTCGGACTATTGTCCTCATCTCTGTCGCCATATTTGTCACAACGTTTCGGCCGTTGTACGCTCCGGCTTTCTTCAGGTGGTTGGAATTTCGAACTGAACCCTTTATTTCGATCACTGGGGTAGACTGTTCTAGTTCCACATGCCATGTTTGATGGAGGTCAGTTATCAGTTATCTCCTGCTAATTTTCTCTCTGAAAGTTCTCCACTGCCTTAACCGGATATTGAACTCACACTCTTTGGGTCTGTGACTGGATCTAACCAACGCCTTTTTCCACTGTGCCATGTGTCCTTGAGGACACATGGCAAATGACGATGGAAAGGAAAAAGAATAAGAAGGAAAGAAGAGAAAAAAAAATAAAATGGTGACGGGAAATAAAATAACAGGGAAAGAAAGAAGAAGAAATCTACTCAGTTTGGTTGCCCTTAATATATAAAATAAAATGTCTCCAGCATCAAAAGGGAGAAAGAGAAATGTTGGTGAATAAATAAGAACCAGACGATAAAAACCAAGTGTAAAAAAGGCCAGAGGGAAAAACGGCCGAAATCTTGTGATAACAACAACAAAAATAAAGACATTTGTCCAAAAGGAATAATTTGAATGTGTAGTCTTTCCTCTCGTTTTGATCACTGAAACTGAAATCATCATTAGATCCAATACAATTGATTCACTTCTGTCGACAAATGATGACATATAACCTTTATTATAACAAGTACATTTAACTGAAGATTGTTTACATTTTTGTTTTAATTACAGATGTTGATCTGAACATCGGAAAATCGCACACTCTTTAGCAAAATTGACATGGAACGAGGGTAAACAGTCGTCTAAATTACGGGAAAATGAAAATAACGCTGACATCTCATTTTAACAGATATATTTATCAAAATTACACAAAAAATATCTCGAAATACGAAAGTTTATTCAATAAAATCACCATTAACTTCAACCAAGGCCGGCAGACAACTTCGGAATCTCCTGAATCTCTTCAGAGCGGGCTCCGTATTGAAGCTGGTGAATGCTGTCATAATCCTTGTCTGCAGTTTATCTTTGGTGTTACAAAGAGTTTTGTTGGTCTCTCGGTCAACTGCAATCTACACATAATAATTAAGGGGTTTACAGCCTAGAGAGATAGGTGGCTAGATGTAAAGGGTGACGTTGTCGCCAAAATTGTCTGACAGCCATGCTTGGGATCTTATGCTTTTTCGGTATGGTGCAGAGTCCTGTTGCCAGACAAGGGTCTTCCAACAGCAACCCTCTTGACCCAGGTCAGCACTACCTCCTTAAGGAACTTGATGCAGGACTCTGTGTTGAGTCTGAGGACCTCACCAAAACATCCGTGTGTTCTTTTCTGAACTATCAGTTAGTTTTCCAGCTGCTGTATCTACGTAATCACCATTAGACTCATCCAACTCTTTTCGAATCCTCTGCACTGTCCTCGGATTTACACCCAAACACTCTGAAATGTTCGTATTGGAGCTTCTGGTGTGGATGCTAATCGGTACATTATACCGTTTCCAAATTTCTGTTAGAGTGGATGGCGTCATGGTGCTCTTTTTCTCTCAAACGATGCTTAACTGACCCTACTATACTGCGCAGTTGACAAAGAAAAAAATAAACAACGTGCATATTCGAAATAAAAAAATATATAATGGAGACAATTTACCCATCGCGCCCTGTACTTTTAACGATAAGTGGTATTCAGTCATACAACGTTTTAATTGACAAAACGAAGGGGTGAAACATCATTTTGATAATAACTATGTTTTGTATTTACCGACATTTGTCAATAACAATACGAAATATAGAGGAATAATATAGTATTGAATATTTAATCAAGCACACTATTCAATCTGAATATACCCGTACATTGTAAATATCCATTATTTTGTGCTACTGTTAAACTCACCATCGTCCGGAAGACATGGTTGGAGAAAATGATGAATACAAACACTAACAAATAAAAACGGAAAATTCCATGGAGCAATATGTTACACGTGTGCTTACACTGATGTTAACAATGTGACAGTTCGATCAACTAGCGGCAAACTCGCGAAGCAGCTGCCTGTATCCCGTGTTGCCACAACACAGTGCTTAGCGCGCGGGACTTACAATCTGTGTCGGTTGCTCCAGATTTTCTCTGTAGTTTCCGATATCCATTGAAGGAAAGTTCGTGATTCCGATGTACGGATGTCTTTTATTATTTCTCGTGAGAAGTGAATCGGCCACATTGGACGTTGTGAATGCTCAAAACGAATGGCTATAACGTCATTCCAAGAAATAAAATCTATAGATTCTAAAATTTCGATACCGTATAAATAAAAGACGTCCGTTATGTGAAAAACAAAACCTCGAAGTATATGAAAGTGTGTCTAAGTTAACATTTCATGTGACGCGAAGTCAAAAACAATCCGACGATCACCTGCAAGTGTATATGTCTTGTTGAAATGGCATTAGTTGTGCAATATTTTGGTAGAAACTCCAACGAATATTGTGTAAAACTAGCCTCTATAGAAGATAACGTTAATATACGAATCCAATCGCTTCTAAGCTCGTTTAGTTTTTGATGACTTTCAACTATATATATATTCAAAATTTTGGACATATGAAACAGAATTTATGATTTTGGAGTACAGTCAATTTTCATCTCTTCAGCAAGAAAGATTTGCATCTTTTAACCCTACCTCCTACCCCGCAAACACAGGCCGAAAATTCAACCGTAGTTGCTGGCAATATTATATTATGTGAATGCTTTAACGAGTGAGGCTTGGTGAATGGGATAATGGAGAAAATTTTTTTTTTTTTTTGAGATTTTCGGCCAGAACATCAATCAGTCTTCTGAAAAAGTGTGGACCGGAATATTATTAGATATTCTGTCATAGAAATTACTCGAAACATGTGTGAAAGTTAGAAAAGAAATGACTGATGGACAATAACATCTCCGCTTGAAAATTTAGGAGAGAGCTGAAAACTCAAGTAATAACAAGAGCTCTTCCTTTATTAAGGCCCTAGACACTTTCGAACAAGTGAAATACAGCAACATCCATGTTGGTACTTTTGAAATGTGGCGATGAAATTTGATTACAGACTTTTTTAATTGATAATGGTTTGTAATTAATAATGAAATTCTGCACATGTACACTTGAACATACCTGTTGCAAACAAATTGCAAATATTACTTCACATAAATCGTTTTTTTTTTCTCCATATATAGTATATATAGTTTTTTTTATATATTTTCATTTTTTATACAGTGTGTCCGTAAAGTTTGAACACATGTGCAAAAATGCATATTTTTCAAGAAATGACGTTTTCAATAACATTTTTTTTAATTGGAATATTAACAAATAACAAAATAGGATTTCTTTTTTCGTGACGCAACGGTTGAATCGCTTTGCAAAGAAACTTGTTTAATCTGTGGAGGTTAAAAATAGAGTTAATGTGATTTCCTATGTATCCAGACTTTAGGAACAATTTATATATTATTCTAGGTTAGCGAAAGACGTTCCTTTATAGGAAATATTTAGCTATGCTCACAATAGCACTGAAGAACGTGATAATAGATATCTCACTATACCAGAGTTTGTAAAGAAGACGAAATACGTGTTAGACAGTTGGGATTGATCGCTATAGAAAAATAATTTATCATTTCTGTTCATAACTTTAGTAAATTCCTTTTGAAAAATCTATGAAGTCAAGCTGAAATGTTAAGGTTAAATGAAATGAATTGGCTGATTGTTCATTTTCTATTGATTAGTCTCCCATTCATAGTGAAAATGTCAATATACAAACGAAAAGCAAAGAATAATATATTTACAAATAGCTATTAGTACTTATATTAATGACAGTAATATATATATATATATATATATATATATATATATATATATATATATATATATATATATATATATATATATATAATGTTTTATATGGAATGAATATGTGCAATATTATGTAAAAGTTTCAAAACATACTAAGTTTTGCACAAGGCAAGTATAGAACTCTCAATAAAAATCAGACTTGCTAATCAGTAGCAATGATAAAAAGCGAAGAAGATGGGCTTAAATTTTAAACAATATAAGGGAAATCGTAGAAGCGAATCTAGAATTGATTCTCATAATTATCACTCGTTCTCTCAGTCAAATGAGGCAAGTTGTTTTTAAATCATAAAAAAAATGAAGCAATGAAACAGGATTCTACTTCAATTTTGGGAAACGAACATCGCTCAGAGGCCAAAATCATTTTCCCTGTTAAAAATAGGGTAAACATCATCATATTGAAACTTAACTTTTGAGTATCAACAAATACGAGAGGATTTTCAGAGAAACCATTTCTCTTTATAAGTTTAAGATTTTAAAGATTTCAAAAGGCCTCATCAACATTATTGGGAAAGAGTTATCTGGACAGATTAGAGTAAAATTGATTTGTTCGGTCACACTTCCCTGAATCATGTATGGAGTAATGACGGTGAAGCATACACACCCAAGAACACCATACCAACTGCCAAATTTGGTGGGGGTAG